AGATTACTGCGTGATGGATGTCCTCTCCTGGGGTGGAATGGGTGGTTAACAGGACCCCCGTTGATACCAGTGTTTACTACACTGAAGGGGATATCCTGTATAAATAAAAAAAGAAAATATGTAGATGTCTATAGACTTCAGACTTCAGACTTCAGGGTAACCGGTCAAGTCGCCCGAAAATCATCTCGCCCGAAGTCACGTTGCCCGGAATCAGAGTCAGTGTTGCCCGAAACTCATAGTCATGCTGCCCGTTATTTTGAGTCATGTCGCCCGAACTTTTATCGAGTGTTTTTTATCGAAGGAGAGTAATATCTTAGGTAAATCGTAAGGAATAAACTCGTAAAATGTTGACTCGTAAACTGCTTTGGTCCGCTAACCTGCAAGAGAGACTCAAATACTGCTGTTTATTTCAGCGTTGTCCGTTGCTATGACGAAAGGCTAACGCTCGAAACGTCAGCTTTGTAACTCGTTACGGTTGCTCGTTACTCGTTAAGTAAATTGCAAGGAATAACCTCGTAAAATGTTGACTCGCAAATTGTTTTCGTCCGCTAACCCATGCAAATAGGAAGTTAAAGAAAGAATCAAATATCGCTGTTCATTTCAGCATTGTTCGTTGCTATGACGAAAGGCTAACGCTCGAAACGTCAGCTTTTTAACTGCCAATTTATAATTTCAACTTAGTTGATATAACCGAATTACCTTTTTACCTCCACCAACGCAGCACCGCAGTTTCTTTACAAACTTTCACCCTTTATTCATAAATCTAGTCAGGACTAGTGCACGAGTGCGCGTGGGCGGAATAGCTTGAGTTTTCTGATTCCGACAAAGCATGCAATATGAAAGTTCTAACTGAAATTACCCTCTTGCAAAAATATCTCACTCTTTCACTTGTGAAAGGGGAGGCTAGTTTCGAATTATTAGTGCGAGAAAGTCTGGTAGTTAATTAAGAGCACCAAGTCGAGGCTGAGGGGAATAAGTGCGTATTTTGAAAGCAGATCGGAGTGACTGTAAGGGCCTGATTACATGAGCCGGGCTGGCCCAGTTAGCCGGGCTGATTTCTTTTGTTTTGGTGTTCGCCAAAGCGTGAAAACAAAAGAAATCAGCCCGGCTAACCGGGCCAGCTCGGCTCATGTAATCAGGCCCTAAAGCGTCTCGACGGAAGAACAGCAACACGCAAAATGTTTTAGTAGCAATAAACCGACAGTTCCATACACACAGCTTTTGACCGAAAGCAGTGGTGTATTGCACTGCCATTTAAACCTTTTCATTCAATAAAAATGATAAACAGCACTCTTTCATAAAATATACTCAAATAAATTTAAACCTAACGTGGTCGCTTTCACCGCTTGACTTGACATCTG